TAAGGGAGATCTCCTTACTAGAGTTTTTAAGAACAGGATAGATAAACATCTTTCAGGCTTAGGTCACAGGCAGCATCTGTTTGGCACCTGGAAGATTAAGGAGGGAGCAGGGAGAAGAGTGGCAGATAATCCAGGGAACAGAAAGCATAGCAGCAAATGGAGCAGGGGAAGCGGATCAGTGGCACTTTGGGAAGGCCAGTCAAAAAGGCTGGCTGCCACTAGTACATCTGATCCTGTCTCAGAGCAGGGCTTGGACTAAATGGCCTCTTGCAGGCTTTTCATATCCTATTTTTTTTAATGAAAGGTGTTTATTTTAGCTTAATTTCATAGACTTGTGGTTTCTCCCCCCCACCTGAAACCCAAAAATCCTTATGTTCCATTCTACAGATTTCAAAATTTAAAATAAGCAGCTACAAATTAAGCTCCTAAGGTTTAACACTATTCAGTCCCAGAAATTGCTGGACTGGCTAAAGTGACAGAAAATACTCCTTTCTCTATGAAGGTTACAGCTAAATGGAAGAACTATGACTACTGATTTATCTTCCAGTTAGTTGTTGCTGGGGGACGGAACAGTACAGGTACAAACCTATCAAACACTAAGCAGCAGCATTACAAAAACAAGCTAAAAACAAGGCAGGAGGGTTTTTTTCAGGCTGGCAACAGGGAATTTTGGTGGCTAATTCTAAGCCCTGCTGGTAACAGAGAGGAAACAACACCCTGTATGCTAACTCTTGGGTCTCAGCATTGCCAACGTGCTTGATTTTACTGCAGGCCTCAAGTTATTCAGGAGTATTCTGTTGGTTTTATTATTTTTTGTTTTCAAATCCTATCTGGAGCAACACAATTAGATGAGAATTGTAGCCTTCATTTAAAAATAAATGATATTTGTGACTATCATAGTGATGTAGAAAAGCTTGATTCTATTTTATTTAAGTGGGCATGATGCAATCAGAAAGTAGAAGTGGAATAACATGAACACATAATTATCTTAAGACTTGTGATTTTTACATCAATATTATCATTTTTCCTAAGGCTAATAGCACATCTACATCATAGCAGCATAGTGTCATCATGGCATGGGAAGAAAGAGGGTTCTAGCCCTTGTCCAGAAGCTGATTTAAAGGGGAAACATTTCTGAAGTCACTACTTAGTTTTTAATTTAATCTTTCAGTGGAAGGAGGTGAAGGATGGAACTTTCCAAAGTCTGGATCAACTGACTGAAAATCAGGATTAAGTACAAGAACAACTAACCAGTCCCACTTTGTAAGTACAAATAAATGAGAGGAAAAAAATAATACATCATGAAATCTCTCACTATCCAAAGTGAAGAGCTAAAGCATTGTTTTTCAAATATTTTTCAGAAGGATATTTTCAGTAGTTATGAATGGATTCTCAAGACAATGTAATAGTCAGACTTCAAGCGCTCATCTATCCTAGATGAGCTGTTGGAGTTCTGCATGATTAAATACTAATACTATACATAATTAAATTCCTAGGAACTGACTTTTAAAGATATTTAATCTGAACTAATTTAACTCCAGTAACATATTGCAATTCTGGTTCCTTCCCCTGTTTAAAATTGTTCAATTTGTTTAAATAAATTAAGTCTAGTCTAACAATGACTGTGGCAAAGAATCTGCAACCATTAATCAGGAGTTCTACTCAATTAAATAATTAGCCCCAGAGTCATTTAATTTCAATTGTAATATCCTGTGTCATAAGTTCTTTTTCACATGCTAACGTTCTTCCATCGCCAAAATTCCTCCACAATCCACTTTAGTACCATATTATTTTCAGCTACTTGCCTTTAACAATTGCCAGATATGCAGAATGTAAAACAAAGTATATTTTAGTATTTTTGCATGTCTGAAGTTATCTTAACTAACGCTCTAGCTAAAAGTTATTATTTTGATTTAAACTTCTGCTAGGAAACAGACTATGCTGGTACTAACTTTAGGAGGTTTGTCCTAAGAGATTCCAAGCATAAAGAAATCCATACTCCCTTTGTGTCTTCACAGCATGCTTTCCACACACTGAATTGTTCACTGGGTGGTCCAGCTATACGATAGCATATTTCCACAACTGACAGTCCACTGTCTAGAAGGTGGAAAGTCAGAACTGGGAGGATGTGACCTGACCCTTACTATTCAGTATTTTTTATACAAATTATTTCTGCCAGTTGCTTACACACCCTTTGTAATACTTAGCAATGGTTTTCTTTGGAAACAATCAGGGTTTCTAAAGAGTGCACAGATCTCATTCTGAAAACACTTCATAGAAGCATATCCAATTCTCAGAAGTGAAGAATGAAAGACGGGTCTTAGGTGAACTTCAGGGTGGGAAGGATAGAATTTTGCAGAAAACCCCTGATTGTCAGCAAAAAACTGGTCAACAACTATATCTTCACTCCCTTCACAAATTTCCTCAAAATAAAGTGACTGACTACAGAACACTTTTGTCATGATGAAACGGTTTTCAGGAAGAACAAGAGTGCATTCAAGTTTAGCCACACAGGAGAACACTATCACTCATGGAGGGTGGAGGGAAATAAAAGAATAGACATGTTACACAGTAACAACTATGACAATCTTGCCATAGTTCAAGAACCTGAATTTTGAGCTCATCTATTTTTACAATGCAAGTGAAAATCAGCAGCTTTGCACTACTGAAATTAACTGGCATAATATGGACATTCATATGCCAGTTACAATTTTTAATGGTACAAACTTGAAAAGATTAAGCCCCAAAGAGTTTAGGGAATCTGACTTGATTCACTTCTATCCTACTTAAGGTGGTGCCTTTTACACCTGCTGCCAAACTATCAAGTGTTGCCCTATACATAAAATTACTGCATTTACTTAAACTGAAGACAAGATATTTTTCACCATTTAACTGGGGGGGAAAGCCCCTTTCCATGGATTCTGGTAAAAGTACAGGCAGGGGTAGGGCAGAACGAAGGTAGCTGCTGAGACTCTGACTCCATTCCTGACCTGGAGTCTGAGTTAGAGTTGGACCTGCAGCAGCTGCCTGCTACCCACATCACCTACCTTCCACAACATGTGCCACCCCACCTGCCCCTCCACTGCTACCTCTGTTTTTTTTTTTTTTTTTTTTTTTTTTTTAACTTGCACAGCTCTGGCTCAGGCTCCAGCCCTGCTCTGGCCCAAACTGTAGAGCATGTGGACACTCCAGCCACGGCCCAGCCAAGCAGCAGCAGTAGCAGCAGCTGTCTGGCTTCAGGATCAGGACCACCGCCAACACAACTGCTCCTACATAGCCAGGTTTGGACTGAAGAGAACAGGTTCTTTATGCCCTGGGCTAGAGCAGGGCCTGAGCCTGAGCTAGGATCATGGAGGGGGGTGAGGGGGTAGGTGCCAGACAACACAGGCAGTGGGAGAGGGTGAGGGGGACAGGGACAGAGGTCAGGCCACTTGACTCCCCCACTGCCTACTCCTCTGCTGCTGCTTTCTCCTCTGCAGGAGTGGAGAGAGGAGGAGGGGATGAATTTAAGATGACTGTCCAATAGTTAGATTGTGTACATGAATAATTATAACAAATTTACAAAATTTCCTTATATACAATGTAATTATTGGGGGGTCATCTTAAATTCAAAGTCATCTTGGATTTAAGTAAATACTGTAATCCCCTTATCAATGACAATAAAAATTGCCAAAACTCTTTTCCCTCCCTAACTGTCGTTATGCTTGTGAACCCCTGAACCCGTTCCCCAAATCGATACCTGTACCTCCATATGTTCCCTAATCTATCCACCGATGACTTTCTTTGACTTAATATTATAAAAAAATGTTTCTAGCTTTAAACTTCAGTACTTTGGGCTGACACTGGACCTGTCCATTATTCTAGGTGTTCCAGTGGTCCATTCCACAGTGCAATGTTACTCAAAACAAGGGCAAAAAGTAGAGAAACCAGCAGCAGAATACAGTAACACTGAGTCAGGAAATTAACTCTGAAAAGTGTAAGTGTCAAAGGATCACCTCAGATGCTTATATAATTTAGGAGGAACTGCTTCAAAAATTTTGAGGATCACCCTGACAACTACATAATACAGGAACTGCCAGATCATATGAGAAGTCCTGTATCCAACTGCCTCAGGAATTAGCCTATGTTCTGCTAATAAATGTTAAAGAAATCCCATGTGACCTATTCTAAAGCTATGCTGCATGAAAAGAAAAGGAAACTCCTTCATGACCCCTTTTAAATGATCAGGCTGGGGTTTAATTAACCATAACATGATCTTCATTTGTAGTGATGCAAATATTTTGTCATAAAATGATCCAACTATGATATTTGTCTGACAGCCTACAAATGCAATGAACTATACAGGTTAAATGTATGTTGCATAAAATACAGTATTTCCTTTGTTATTTCCACATTTACTGCCTTAAGTTTAGTTTCACTTTTCCTCCTATCATGCAACAAGGCAAAAAAAAAAAAAAGTCATTGATCATCTTCACTCAACATTTTAGCCTCGCATAACTCTTCATGTGTCAGTGAATGGTGCCAATGTAAGAAGCTAAAGGAATATGAAGGCCTTTATAATGCTACATTCATCAGGAAAGTCCCATATAATTTTATTCCTTCCAATGCCAAACAATTCTAGACTGTAACTGAAAGCCAATTAGAGGCTTTTTTAAAACCTGAGTTGACCCAAAACATTTTTAAATGAATTTTTGTTTATTCAGGTGGATGCACCAAGGATGAGCCAGCAGAGCTTTCTTCCAAACTGATTAATTTTATTATATCTGATCATCACCATCTCTGAAAAAATATGTTCATTAAAAATACTTTCTTCAAGTACTTCAAGAAAACAACAACAGCAGGAGATCATCTTTCATTGCTTCATACTACCAAGAGTTATATATCCAACAATGACCAGAGTCATGGCTGCAGAGTTCAGAGTTCTTCTTTTGATGTTGATGGAAACCTGCTTTCTGATTAATTTACAAAAAAAGTGAAGTACATGTTTCCACTGTAACTCCCATGCTAACATCTCCTGGTATATAAACTCCCTGCTAAATGCAAAACAGATGAGCCTGAAAAGAAAGTTATTTATACCATGGATTTTTTCAGTTAAATTAGGAACTAAGAGTGACTTATCACCTGTGGCTCACCACTAATAATACTTCAGTATAGACATTAAAGCTATGCTTATGTTGAAAAGAAAGAGAAAATATGTATGTATATTCCTTTAAAGACAGGGATTTTTATAAACATATGATGAAACTACTAATCTGTAATTTTTGGCAGAAGTTAAATTTAAAAAGGTTAATATTTTATTTAACAAAAAGAAATGGGCACAATGAAAATAAAATAATGGGGTTTTTAAAACTTCCCATTTCTAATACTAAGTCTGGTTCTATTCTGAGAAAAAAATTTATAAAACGGCAACGTGGGATTCCATGTTTATTTGATTCAGACTGATTCCCCAAAGCAAATGCACTCAGTTGGCAAGTTTTTCCCTCTAACTTCCAACTCTACACACTCTAGTTGGAACCGAGAACCAAGGAAGACTGCTTCCTTCTAGGTGTAAGATTAGCAACAATGAAGGAAAAATTCTACCTTCTTTGACACCTTTGCAACTTCACTGTCTTCACTGGAGTAATATAGGATAAAGCCCTCATTTTCAAGCAGGGTGCAGCACGACCATTTGAGAGCTGCTGTGGCATAGGTGCTGCTACTATCGCCAGATGAAACTACCCTATGCGCTTCATGCGGAACCAGACTGGGAAGGGCTGAGACACGGGTCAGTGCTCCTACCTAGTTTAGGATTATCTGATAAAGCTAATGCAGGCAGAAGCTCATGCTTTTGCTGCAGACTGTCCTGGTCTGGCCCTGAATGCTCCTCTTACAGAGGTGCACACTGGGCAGTTTCTACAGGCAGCAGTGGCAGCCCTGAAATGGGACCCAGGTAGAGTTCCACCAGGTAGGACTGCCTCTCATTCCTCTGTTTCCAGGAACAGCATGGCTTAAATTCCTGCTGAAGCCCTCAGTACCATAACTAGGGCAGGAAGAAAGAGGCTCCAGCCCCGGATGCCAATTTGGAAGGAGTACCAGAATAGCAGCCCCAGAGCCTGTGCCATGGCAGCTATAGCCAGGCAGAATGCAGGGAACTGAAACCAGCCCCAGAAACAGACGTCAAGCCAACAGCCTTGAAACCAGTGCTTTGACCTGGTCAGTGCAACCACCTATCTGAACCCACCACTTTGCTGCTGTTCCCAAAAGCTAGCTGAGGCCTACCTAAAGTCTCCATCAGTGCCTGAGTCTCCACCTAATCCCCGACACCTGAGTGACTGGCAGCTGTCACATGACCCTACACTTCCCCTATGTAAGTCCACGGAAAGATGCAGGAATCGTTTTGGCAGCACAGCATGGTGCTTCCTGACCTCTGCCTGCTTCCTGATCTGGTTTCCTGACTTGGCTTGTTTGTGGACTCTGCTCTCCATTTGATGTTCTTGTTTCTTTATTTGGCTCGCTCATAAACTTTCTTACTTCATGACCTCCTGGTCTCCTGACCTGGCTTGTCCCTGGACTCTGATTACCTTCTCCAACAAAAACCACTAGTTATGCCTCTGGTCCCAATCTCACTCAGCCCAAGGCACACAAAGCTGTTTCACCTGGCTGTGGTGGTGGCGGCATCCCATTTGAGAACCACTGAGGTAAGCTGAGGCACTGTAACAGTGACTCTCAACTGAGTTGCTACCAAATTCAGAAAAGTTATGGTCTGAATTTAAACAAGTGGAGAACCATTGGGTCAAAGGATTGCCCCATAATTAGCTGTTAGTGAATTAATCTGTAGTTAGTGCATGGGGAAAGATAATATTCTACTGACACACTCAACTGTACTATCTGCAAGACAAACATGAGTAACAGCTAGTAAAAATGTATTTTTATCAATTGCATCCACAAGAGAAACCTCTGTAATACAGCATGCATTAATATAATCCTGGCTTTAGTAAATGTAAACTTTAGAATTGCAATAGTCAGTCATCCAGAGAATTTAAAAGATCAATTGAAAATTTCAAGTCAGCCATGCAAAACAAAAAAGATTAATAATGAACTGTAATGTGTTGTGGGGTGCAGTGGCAGAGCATTTCATGTGTTTTGCTATGATTCAAGAGATGTAAGTTTTGCAGCCCCACTGCAAAACTGCCAAGGGCTGTCCCATGTTGATCCAACTCTAAATGAGTACATGGCCATTCAGACTGATGAGTGGCCCTCACTCCCTTATATGCTTTTGGCTACAGAAATTCATGAGTCACGGTCATGCTACCATTGTGGATCGCTAGGGTCATGCTAGTGTTGTAGCTTGGGATAGCGTCCGATGAATCTTTTCCTGCCTCTTGCCCCCACATACCAATTCCCAAAACAACAGTTAGCTGCTGTACTTTCTCAGCTTTGGATACACCAATCTGGACTGATAGCCTATTAACTGATGTGCATCATGTAACTGATGAGCATAAGGCTATTCAAATCATGCTAGATATCTTTGCATAAACAACTTGGGGCATTCCTGTCTCCTTTTCCCCCCTCTCAGTTAAGGTTTCAATATTGCAAAGCACAAGAAAGGAATATTAAACAAGATCTTTCCATTAGAAAGTCTTAGGGAGAGCAGACAGATTTGTGTTTATATGAAAGCAGTAAGATTTCACTAGCCAGGAATCAAAATATCTTATTATCAGCAAAGTGCTGTTCCAGTCAGCAAAGTGCTGTTCCAATGATGTCCCCATCATCAGAATATTGAGTGTAATTTTAGGTAATGAGCTTCCCATCCACTTGTAAACAACACCAAAGAAAGTTTCCAGTACCTTCACGGATACACTAAGATGTCTCTGACTCTCCTCCTTTCCAAGGTCACAGGAAATTATTGCCACCACAGCAGACATTTGAGAAACGAGTAGATCTTTTCCATATGAGCATATGAAAATCTTCAAACAAGTGCAACCCATACTAGAAAAAAACCTCTCTTAAAGAGATCTTTCCAGAACCACCTGTCCTAGCCTTCAAACAAGCACCGAAACTCGCTAACCTCAGCAGCAGAAGCAAACTCCTTATGACCCAAACCACACCTAATGGATTCTGACCATGCCAGAACAAGAAATGCAAAACCTGCCAACACATCTGCACCACCCCCATTATAACTACACCCACAACAGAACCATCATCATTCTTGGATCTTGCAGCTGCACCTCTAGAAATGATATATATCTCATCCAATGCACCAAATGCCCTGCTGGAAAATATGTTGGAGAAACCAAACAACAACTGTGCACCAGAATGAACACACATCAAAAATCTATCAAAGACAAGAATACCCAACTACTTGCGGGGGCACACTTCTCACAGGACAATCACCTCTCTGATCTCTCGTTTCTAATCCTCAAAGAAAACTTACAAAACCCCTTCCACAGACGAGCCTATGAGCTTCACTTCATAAATCTACTGGATACAAAAATCATGGACTCAATATAGACATTGGTTTTATGACACATTACAACCTGCCTGACATCTGATTCAACAGGTATGTGCCTGACCTGATCTCTTACATTCTTCTTTTCCTCCACCTTTTTCCCCTCCCCTATTTCTTTGCCCTTTGTTTCCCTGATTTCTTATTATTTCCTTCTTCACTGAAAGCCTCTTTCTTACCCTGTATTATTATCTATGATGTTTCCCTTTGGCCTTTTCCCCCGCTTCCTTTCCTCTCCCTTTCCTGCTTTACCTTCTGTTTCTTCTTTCTACCTATTTATATTTTCATTACAACCTCTCACACTTTGAGCTTCTCTCATTCCTGTTTTCCTGATCTCCAACTATTTTCTTTTTCACTGACAGCCTCTTTTCTACCTTGTATTCCATCACTGTCAGGTCTCCCTTTAGCCTTTTTCCCCCCTGCTCTCTTTCCCTTCCCCTTCCCCTTTCTGCATTACTTTTTGTCTTTCTAATTTCTACTTATTTAAATGCTCACTGAGATCTTGCCACACTTTTAGCTTCTCTCTTTTCTTGGAGTCTCAGAACAGCAAAGATTCCCTATGCCTGAAGAAAGGTGACTGCACCCCAAAGATTGCTAAGAACTTTTATTTCCAACTATCCAGTTGGTCTAATAAAAGATATCACATCTACTCAAAGAACCTTGCCTTTCATATGACCAGCATTTTTTTCTCAAGATTCCAGAGACTCTGTGAGCTAAGGCAGAGTGGTCATTTTTGACAGAGGAATAGCACGTGAGGCTTTGGATACATTCTCATGTGTCCAAGATCAACTATGCAAGATTACCTCCTACTTACATTGTTTTCTTCTGAGATAGATTTGCTTATAATAGTCAAGGTCCTTGATTGCTAGGAATATCAGGCACCATCTTACTGATGGTTCACAACTAAGAACAGAAGCAAACAAACTCCCCAAAGACCAGCTGAAGCAAGACAATACTTGAGGCACTTCAGTTTTTCTTATTCACTTTCTTTCCTACAGTAGGAATTGCTACTATGACCAATTAAACTGACAGAGTGAGAAGTGATGAAAACAGAAGAAAAATATCACTCTTGGTCCTCAGAATCATAGAAATTAAGGGCTGGAATGGGACCTCGAAAGATCATCAAGTCCAACCCCACTGCTCTGGGCAGGAGTACTGCTGAGATCAAATGATCCCAGCAAGGTGTCTGTCCAGTCTCCTCTTAAAGACTTCCAAGGTTGGGGACAGCACTATCTCCTTGAGAAGTCTATTCCAGATTCTGGTTGCCCGTACTGTAAAGAAGTTCTTCCTTACATCCAACCTGAAACTGTCCTCTAACAGTTTATTTGCTCTGGGGCACCCTGGTTTTTCTCCCAGCTCCTGACACTCACCCCTTATATATTTATAGATGGCCACCAGGTCCCCCCTCAGTCTTCTCTTCCTCAGGCTACACCATCCCAGATCCCTTAGTCTTTCCTCACAAGGTTTGTACTCCAGGCCCTTAATCATTCTTGTAGCCCTTCTCTGGACCATTTCAAGATTCTCCA